TGTATTTTATAATAAAATATCACTCACAAGATCTTTCACATCAAATTCTTCCTGATCTTCATGATCAGAAATAATCAAATCTTTTTTATAACGTGAAACATCAACATAATCTATTAATACTATTAGTTCTAAATTAAATTCTGTTATAATATTTAATTTTTCTATTATATTACAATTATCAGCTACTGCAGGTTCATTTAATTTTAATAACACTTAACTTCATCATCACTTACATTATCTTCTTCATAACTTTTAATCAATGAATTTTCGACTATTTGTATTATTTCATCTGTATCTTTTTCTACTATATAATGATGTAATTCTTACCTTGCATTTGCAATATAAAATTGATATATTTTTGTTAAAGATTCTATTGTATTAAAATTAAGGCGAATTCGTCTCTTTCCATAAATCCATCCAACAGATGACCAAACCCTTTCACAAGCTACTGCATTTGGGGTAATAGAAAATAATTGTATAGCTAAATCTTGTAATTGCCTTAAATTTGTAAAACAAGTATTCTACTATTTCAAAGATGTATCATTACCTGATAAATAAGGCACATTATAAGAATGCTCTTGTAAAATATAAGAACGTAACTGTGATACTAACTCCTGACATTCAAGTTTTTTATTTCCTATACTCTTCCAAAGGTTTCCTGCTTTAATTAAAAATTCACCAACTCTTGAATTAGAAATTCCCTTTCCTAATTTATAAAAGAAAAATTTATTTTAATATTTTTAAATAAAGTAATATAATAAAATTTATAAAAATTTTACCTTTATACTGTGAATGTAATATAAAAGCCAACATAAATGTATCGTTACTATTAAATTTTTCAAATCTAATAATACAAAATAAAATTAATAATTAAATATATTTATATAAATTAAATTTACTTTAATAATTACTTACCAAAAATTAAATTTTTTAATACAATGATTTTTAAAACCACTATAATCTGAATTTGATACATTGTTGATAGCAATACCAATCTTTAATAACTGAATATAACAATCAGCAAGATTGGCATTCTTACTTTTAATACTCAAAATAGCATTTTTAATTGATATTAAAATATTATTTAGAGTTTCAACATCATTAAAAAAACCTCTTATATTATTATTCTTTTAACAATATCACTAATTTCACTTGAATGCTTTTCATAAATCTATTTTTTAAAACAAAAAGTGATTAAATAAAAATTAATAACCAAAAATAAAAATTTAATTAAATATACATTTATTACTTACTTCAATAAGACATTTTTTTAAACATAATATTGAATTTGTACATTTAGCAATTGATATCCACCTTGTTTTAACAAATGTTTTCAACCCTCTTCCAATTACTTGGTATTTTGTATAAATTTGTTGATTAAATCATTACCAATGTGTGATTTTTTAAAAAATTTAACAATGATATTACAATATTTAATTGTTTTATTAGCAAAATTATGATTTAAAAAGTCATGTGATATTAAATTAAAAAATGCGCAATGCATTTAACATTAAAAATTTTTGGAAATTGATTGATAATCAAATTTCGTGTTATAACTACATTTGGTCCATTATAATTTTGATTGCAACTATCATAATAGTTGCAACTTAAAAACAGTTGCAACTTTTAGTTGCAACTTTAATAAATTTTATAAAGTTGTAACTTATGTAAATTAATTACAGTTACTATCTTTAACTCTTATGCTTTACTTTTTTAATAAAATTATGCATAACCATCTTTGTGAAAAGCTTAATACTTACTCCAGTCATTTTTAATATAGCATTCCAAGAATATGATAGAAGAGAAATATAATGACTAGGATCGAGCTTATTATATTTTATAGATATTTTTCATAACTGTGTTCAGATATCTGCAAAGCTAAGTATATAAATCTTAAGATATAGAGGTCATAATTCTCACTTAGATTTTAACTTTTATACTTTCTAAACAGTATTGTTATGAGATATAGTTAGGACATAGATGAGATACTGATGGGACAGCAGGGACAGTTGAGACATAGTATAGACATATTGTGATATATAGCTGAAACATATAGTTGGGATAACAAATATCTGAGACATCAAAAATGTATATACCTGCTTTAGGCATATTAATAATCTTTTTGGATAATTTTTCTACCAAGTTATTTATAAAATTTATGAATAGATAAAAGCTCTGTCTTCAAGAATCTATTATGTGAATCAATGTATTCATAAGGATAACTCCTTTATTACATACTAGAAAATTTTGTTCTGAAGAAAACTCTTTGAAGTGCTAGGTTATTATTGAATGATTAGTACTCAAATTTTTCGTAAGCTAGAGTTTAATATATTTAAGCTGACCTACCTTCATAAATTTATATTATTTAAATATTTCAGCTATAACTTTGATTTGATGTATATTAACTGATCACCCAAAAGATTCATAGACCAAGTAAAAATTATAACCTCTAAAGTTGTAAAAGACTACTAAAATAGGGGTTTTTCAAGGAGTAATTTGAAGTTTGAGATTACAGATATTGTGAGCTAGTCTTCAGAACTTGCTTATGATATGATAATGGTCCCATACTTTATCATTCATCATTCCTAGTTTCTAAGACCTATATTTCCTTTACTATTTTTAGAAGTATTATAAACTAAGGATTTATGTTCATCCACATCCTTAATTCCATTTTTTATCTTTCTATTAATAAAATCTTTCTTTTTGTCTAAACGATTAACTTCTTCTTTATTAATAATAAACTTACCTTTACAGATCCAATAGCTATCTGCCTCAGCAAATTTTTTTTTATTCTCATTAGTCTCAATTCGATCAGCCTTAACAGCTAGGACTTTATTGATATTAATTAGTTCTAATTAATTGTTTGAAAAAATTCTTGCATAGGATTTTCTCCCTAATATAGGAAATGATCCCATATATTTCCAGTATTGATTCAATAAACTAAATAGTAGAAACTGTTTGCTTTCTACTCAGTAAGTTTGTTTATGCTTTTACTATATGTGAGGCAATCAGTAAAAAAGGGAAAATTCAAATTTGGTCAAAATTTGCATTATTGGACCACTTGGCTGATCTCGGTCATGTATACAAAATTAATTTAATAATTAAAATTAACAAAAATTTTGGATTTCCCCCTTTTCTATTGACACCTCTCAGATGTCTCATCACATTTCTTATTATTAGTTTCAAAGTCAACTATAATAACACATGAAGCATTGATCATTTGATCACAATTTTTAAATTACTCAAAATTATTGACTCCTTCTACAGATAGGTATTGTAACTTTTTGAGAGGCATTTTCATACAATCCTAGATATGATTCTAAATAATATTCTAGGGATTTTTCAGAGAACCAGCTTTGGAAGCATCTGTTACATAAATACTTCTTAGCTTTATACCACCTACTAACTTCATAAATTAATTTATTGAAATTCTTAATTTAGAGAAAATGGTTCTTTATCCATATTTACTATCTTATCATCTTTAGTAATATCTGTAAAGGCCAATAGATAAATTTTATGTTGTTTCTTACTAGCTATTATAGGTTTAGAAGTGGTTGATTCTTCTTTTTACTCCTAGATACTAATGGAGATATCTGAATTCATCTTCTCAATCTTTTGAAAGGTTTGTAAACAAATTGAAGTAGGTATTAGAATTTCATCTAGCTTGATAATATATAAGAAAGGTTTAAGCTTTTAGCTCTGAAAATTTGTTTAAGATGTTCTGTATTTCCATCCTGATGAGTGAAGTAGATACCTAATGCACTTTGAAGATACTTTTTAGAAGGTCTATTTGTTTCTAAATCCATAGGCACATAATTATATGGGTTAATAATACATTTGGCATTGGCAAGATTCTTTGGGGTAGGAATGTAAAATCCTTCTATTGTTCATCAATAAGAATATGCTTTAATTAATACTTTGTCAATTCAAATTAATTGCCAAGCAGATTTATTACTAAGAAACTTATCAATTTTCTTATCTATCACTGAACTAAAACAAGTTAAATGTTCATCTATATCATTTTTAGAGAGAATTGGACGCATCTCTTCTCTATAATATTTCTTAGCAAATGTATATATTATCTTTTGGTAATTTTAGCCTCTTTTCTTTTATAGTATTTACAGTATGTGGCTGATTTTATCTAATCCTTTCTATCTTGTAATTTCTTTTTAAACTAATGCTATTAGTTGAGGCAAATATGGTACTTTGACATAATCTGCTCGATTTACTAAATCATTAAAATCATATGCTGAATTTGCCATTCTAGGAATTATGATTTCCTATTTGCTTAATGAAAAAAGATTTTTGTAAGGTCTTAATTGTGAGGTCTTAATGGATCTCTAACTTTTTTTCCTCAAAGTTTATATCACCTTCTGAAGCATTGCTTTCTGAATTACCAAGTATATTTAACCCTTTAATCTGCCTTGTCATCCTTTCTGTTTGTGCTTTTTCTATTATACTCAGCTCTTTAAGAAGTTCTATATCACTTAATTGCCTTACAAGCTTTTCTCGCATACATTTGCTCCCTTAAATCTTTTCTTTAATCTTTTTATCGAATATGGATGATTGGAGTAGGTGATTTGGATCTATGATAAATAGGATTTATTTAATCTTCCTTTTAAAATGACTTGTTCTATCACAAGTCTTTTTAAAGTCATCCTTTACATTGAAGATATGGTGATATCATTTTAAATATATGTATATGTTTTAGTATTTGTATTAATAGTACAAAAACTTTTGTTTAAAATAAATTATTTAATAGTCAACCCTGCTTACTTATTCTGATAACTTTTCTTTTTTTTAAATGAATATAAGAAAAAAGAGGTTTGTGATAAACCGAATAGCTCTGAATCTGATCTTTATAGAAACATGCTAGTAATTATTATGTAATCCAGTATATTAATATGCTTCAGAATAGAGCTTTAAATACATTTTAGGAGATATATTAGGATTAATTTCTTTGAAAAATTTACATTTTACCCAAATTTTTTTTTACATTTATAGTAAAAAATTTACACTTTGCCTGATATTTTTTTTATACTTATGGTAAAAAATTTACATCTAACCCAAAAATTACACTTTGACTAAATTTATTTACATCTAAGGTTAGACTTTATGAACCTAGTTTATGTAAAGGAAATTGCTTCAGAATAGTTTACTGTATATCAAGAAATTTATATTATACTAGAAGTTAGTCTAGAGTTTTTAGATTTTCTTATATATATTCAAATATTTACACCTATACTATAAAATTATTGGTATTGCTAGCTGATAATAAATTAACTTTAGAATTAATTCTAAGATATCATAAAATATTGTATGCATTTTAGCTTGTATGGTTAGACATAGCTCAAATCGTGTTACTTAATTCCTTGATTTTCAATGGATCTTTCAGAGGTAAACAAAATAGCATAAAAGTTATTATTCATATTGAGTTTGTAATGTCAGGCTCAGCTCAAATTGAGTCACTTCGTTTCTTGATTTTTAATGTGTCCTTCATCTTTAGAGATAAATAGAATAGTGAAAATTTTTTAATAAATTATTTAGAATTAAAATCATTACATCAAACAGTGAAATTCTTTATATCTAAAGGCTAATTCTTAGTCAAGTTCGATACCAACATTTTTAGATACTAGAATGGGAGCTTAGCTTGATTTTAAACTTAAATTCACTATTGAATTTTTGATGTTCTTCCTAATATTGCAATGTGATTAGAAGATTAAAAGGATTCCATATAATTTGTATACAGGAATAGAGTGAGAAGATGCTCAAATATTAGTATATACTATCTTGAAATTTGTCCCAAAAGTCTCAAAGTTGTCTTACTATATCACATAATATTAGAATTAATTATAAAAGTAAATATTGCATTTTTTTATGTCTAAATTTTATTAAAAATTATGTATACAATAAATAACAAAACTTAAAATAATAAGCAAATATCCAAAATTTAAAGAATAGAGCTTTAACAGTTATTAATTAATTGGATTATTGATGATTTATTAGTGAACATAATTGAGAAATTAATCAAAAGAAATAGATAAATTACTATAAATTAACTTATAATTATAATAATTATAATGTAATTGGTAATTAACTATAATATGGATATTATAATTATCATAGTATAATAAAGGTGATATATTATATAATAAAAATAAAATGATAATGTATATGCATTTTTTACTTGTATATGTATATGTTTGTATAAATAAAAAAATTATATAAATGAGATGAGATTAAAGAATGAATATAAGGATAAAATATAAGTTTTTTTGAAAATATCAAATTTTACATGATAATTTTTTTAATATTCAATTAAATTTAAGTTGATTTTACTTAAAAAGTTTTTTTAAATTTTATTAAATTTATATACACTTATATTTATTAATTTTTATATAATTTTATTATTTAATTTTGACTTAAAAATACATAAAAATAATTTTTTAATTACATTAATATTAAAACTTTACTAAAATATAATTATATAAATAAATGACTTAATATAAACACATTTTATAATCATATCTTTTAGTAATTATAAGAGATGTAAATATAATGGGAATAACTTTATATATAAATATTAAAAAGATATTATATTTTCTATATAATTATTAAGAAATATTTATAATATAAATGCTAATTTCTATAATATTTAAAATTATATTTTAAAAATAAAATTATATAAATTATTTGTAAAATAACAGTTAATTATATTTAAAAAAAATATACTAAATTGCAAACTAAAAAATTATTGGTTTTTTATCTTATTCTTAATTTAATTAAGTTATATAAATAGATATATTAGGAAATATTTTAATAATTCTTTACAATTTAATCAATAAATAATAATTTATAATTATCATTATTTAATAAAAATAATATTATTATTTATTTATTGCATAAAAATTAATATTTTAAAATATAAAGCAATTATAATTATAAATAATAATACTAATGAATAAAGTAAATAATATTTTAGAAGAAAATAATTTAATAAATATGAAAACTTTATTTGAAGCTAAAAAAAAATGCTTAAAAAATATATTTAGTTGAATAAAATTGAATTATAAATCAAAAAATAAATAATTAAGCAATATATTATGATATTTTTTTTTATTATATATTTACTATAATTAAATACTAAATAATATTTAATAAATATAATGATAATTCAACTTTAAATAATATTGAACTTTGTTAGCATCAAAATTTAAATCATTCAAAAGTATTAAATATACTATAAAATGTTTTTATAAATAATTCTTATAAATACTAATGCATATAATATAGAGTACTTTTGTCTTAGTAGAATATTACATCTAAATAAATATACTTTATATTATAATTAGATATCCTAAAATCTAGTATTTTTTAAGCTTAATTGCATATAATTTAATAAAAACAGATAATCTCATATATTAACTTTTTAATATCATATCAAATATTTTTTTTAAGCTTAAAATTTTATATACTAAATTAAATTTATTATTTTATTTATAAATATTAATTGTCTTATATTAAAAATTTTAAACATTAAATATAAATAGAACTGTTTTAAGCTCCCCATCATGTTCAAAGTTTACTTGAATTACTTTTTATAAATAGTTTATAACTACTTAATAATTGAAAAATTGATGTTGCATCTTGCAGATCAATGACCAAATTGTCCATATGCTATCCGGCCAATATTAGATGTTGGAACTGACACAAAAATCCTAGGTTAACAAATTCTTTAGCCGGTTAATTAACCGGTTAAATTTTACACAGGCCGGCAGTATAAATTTGGCGAAATTTTGTAACTGCAAAAAAATTTTAATTCTGTCCTAAAATTAAAATTTCAACCAGAGTTAAATAATATATTTTAAACGGATAAAAAATCTTTAATCGATTAACAAGATAAACGTCTTAACTGGTTAATTAACCAGTTCCAAGTTCTAGCCAATATGTCATGTATCCATATGGTGGATTTCGCTTTAGATGAAGAACATGTTTTCTTGATAATAAGTTTAGAGAGACGATTGAAGTAATACATGCTAGTTTAGTTGTCCTTAATAAAAATACATTAAAATATAAATTTCTGCTTACCTCTATTTTCCTTTTTGACCTAAAAAAAATAAAGAACTGCGTGTAGAAGTAACTAACATCTCTCAACTTGCATCAAATGTGAGATTCGCAGAATAAACTTATCAAATAGTCACATGAAATATGATTTTATTAGATATGTTAATTAGCTCAAGTGATTCAGCTTATGTTTGGCTTAATAATGCTTTGAGTTAAAAGCAAACTAAGCTGTTTTGGGAAAATAAGCTTATTAGCAATATAGCTCTCTGTTTAAGTCAAGCATTTATAAGATAAATAGTTAGATTGATTGCTCAAACGAATTAGTTTAAATCTGCCGCTTATTATTATTATTAAAAAAACTGATAAATAGAAGCTATTTTGATCAAACTCGCTTAAATAAATACGCATGAATTATACTAAATATAGTCTTTGTAGCATAATCAAAGCTTAGATTAATGAGGTTGAAGCATTTTTAAAACACATATTAAACTTGTTTATAAAAATTCGTGCTTATACTCGGTTAAGCATACTTTTGTCCTCCCTCGGTATATCAGTGAGGATGTATTAAATGCATTCAGTGTGTCTGTAATCAGACCAGATGATAAAATTCCAGTAGAAATTAATGATTTACAAACATTAGTTATGATGTCACCAACGAATTCACATTTCAGTGAAATGAATCTTATTGAAACGGAGTTTATGGTCTTATCTGGATCATTTCTAACCGCAGATTTCAGTAAAAGGTGCTTTTCTTTGAAATTAAATTTTTATGAAAATCAAGGGGTAGAAGAGGTGGAATCTTAAAAGTAAGCTGACTATACAAATCACATTTCTTACATTCACATTATCACAATACTCATAATCTATTCCCTTTTCTTGAAATAATTTTTTAAATCTCGAATTTCAGCATGATTTTTATCTCCACATTCTTTATTACATGCATAAAAATTGATATATTTGGAAAGAAATTCTTTGCTTATACAGATTTATTCTTAATCTTGTAATTGATCGAGTTAATAATGCTTACATACCATTCTGATGAAACTTCTATTATTTTTATTGATATAAATTAAGGATGTAGTATAGTATATAGGTGTTTAAAACTGGTGAAAAAGGTCTTTCCTGGATCCTTATCAAGCTAGATGCAGATCTTACTCCGTATTAGAATCTACTGTTATTGTTTTTAAATCATTAAATCTGAACTAATAACCTTTATTTTGACTTTACTAAAAATTAGGGATGCAGACTTTTACTTTGTTATATATAATTGTGACGTATCTTGACGTGACGTATCAAATTATATATGAATTTATAAGGTATGATGAATTGACGTAACTTTTAAGAAAGTAAATCTGCATCCTTACCTTACTAAACATCCCATCAAGGAATTAGAATTTCAACTGATAGAATATTACACATATGATCTAGTGTAATCAAAAAAATCAAATTATTCAAATTGTACTTCACAGGTTACAAAGCGATAAGTTGTTCTATCTTTTTATCTTGCCAGAAGAAGAAGAAGATTCACTTTTTTTGTATAGCTCGAATCCTTTTAGTGTCATCAAAAGAACCTTACACCATTGACATTGAGGACTAAGACATTAAACAAAGCTCTACAGACTAATGGTTTCTGAATTTCCGACTATGGTTAGAATCTAGTAAAACGCGTTAGAACCAGCGAATCTCTAAAAAAGCATTGTAATCAACGAAACTAATAGGCAAAATCCAGAAAAATTCTAAAGAAACATTGAAATCAAGAGAAAAGAGAATCGTTAAAATGAAATTTTAACTAAATTATAGTCTATAAGCTATATTCTTTATTAACAATTGTTCAAATAGAATGATACTTAAACTTATTTGAATTAAATTTAATCGTTCGATTACCTCATCAAATCCTCACAGTTTCGAAAGACTATTTTAATCATTAATTTTGTCATCATCTTCGAGATTGAATCGCTTGTATTGAATGTTGTCTTCATCATCATTGTTCATCATTCATTATTCTTAAGACTACATCTAATTTGAAGTCACTTTTTTTTACATCACCTTAGGGTGGGATTTTACAGCTGTAGATCATATCGTACTATTCGTTCTGCTGGGATTCACTCGCCAATATTTTTAATAATAATTTGAAATCAACTTATTTTTTAATTCGCAACTAATTGAAATTTAATAGAAATTAATTCGTCATATTCGTCATTAATAAAATTAATATCGTCCGGCCTACCATAACAAAAGCTTAGCAATAGTAGAAAAGAATACAATAAAGCATAAGAAGTAATAAGTGTTTGCGAATAAATTAAAGAAATTAATAAAAAAATTATTAAATATTGCTAATTAATAAATGAAAATGACATTTTTAATTCATTGTCTTGATTCATATTAACATCCTTTTATTATTACACATCTTTGAAAATATGGTCTAAATTTTATAAAGTAAAGATTATTGCACAAAAATTTAAACATGTACGATGTGTACGAAAAATTAAAAGTTTCGTACGCACTAGTACGAAATTAAATTAGAATTCGGAAACGTACGTACTATAATAATTTGCAGTCGTCCGTACTAGCTTGTATCACCGTACTGTACAACTTTACTCGATACCTTTAATAACATATGGAAAACCGAAAACCGGTCATAGAAAGAACTGTACCGTACTGGTCTCAATAATATTACGGTACGATCATAATTTGGAGGGTCGTACCATACAGATCAGCTGATCCTTTTAGTGCAGAAACAACACGACAATTGAATAATTGTTCTTCAAAATAGTTTCCATGTGCATAGCGTCATTTTTGACAATTTAATCGAAATATAGCAAAATGTTGCGAAATGTTTTTATTAGATATATTTTACTTGTGGCGGAAGTAGCTGTTATTTTATTTCTACTACAGAGGCGACGAATTTTAAGAATTTAACGCATGGAAAAAACAATTATATTATTAATATATATATTGGCTTATTATAAAAGAATTTTGTATTACAAATGGAAATTTGTATTCATTTTTTTTTTTGTTATTTTTTATAATTATTAATCGATAAAAATTAAAATTTGTAAGTAGAGCAAACTTCGATTATAATCTTGAAAAATAACGAAATTAAATGGCGCGTAATGATTCGTATCTTCCCTTCCCTTTGGTCTATCTATTTGAAATTACTACTTAATATATTTTATGGCCAGTATTCATTCAGCCCTACTTTCATACGATGCTATAATTACATTTGGAATTCTTTAAGGTACTTAACCATTCATCTGGGGTGTGTTCACTTTGAACTAAAGCAAAAATATGATGTTGAAATAATTTTGAGTTTTTTTTTATAACTTTATTTGTATTTCAATGATTTTATGCTACTAATTAATGGTAAATTTACCCCTGAAAATTTTTCCAAATTACTTGATATTGCTTAAATCTTAATTTTACTTATTAAAAATCATTCACGGTTGAATGGACTTGAAGACTGTAAATTAAACCGGTTAAGGATTTTTATTAGTAAAATGTACTAAGATGGGTCCAACACTAGTTCAAATCCTTGATAAATTATGATTTTACGGATAGTGGTAAACATTTTTCAACATTGTTTACCACTACTGAGACTTTATGTCTTTTGAAATCTTTCCTAAAGTCATTCTTTATGCGAAACTTTTAAAGCCCCTATATGAGGAATTATTGTAACTTTATTTAAATAGTAAGCCAATAATCAATACTTTGCAATCTTGATGATGGATTCTCAATGTTAATTTTAACTTTACTTATCATTTTTATAACTTAAATGGAAAAATGGATATTAATACGAATTTTTCATAAATATAATTTTATTTCCATGTGCATTTATTTATTTGAGCAGGCTTGGTTTAATCCTGTAAAGCTTCATTAAAGTAAAGTAAATGAAAAGAACTTTAAATAATAAGTTAATAATACAAGTCGTTCACTATTTATCAATCAATGAGTTCTTCAGAATAATTGATTAAGAAAAGAATATAAGAGATGCAAAATGAATATCGTATGAAGTATTTCAAATTTCGATTAATTAATTAACTTGTTATTAACCTTCTTTCCTGATTTCACAAGTCAAATATTTGATTGTAAATTCCTTAGTTAATAAAAAGTATAAATGTATATCATATTTTGATTTTAATTTTAGAATAATTTTATTTTCCTAATCATTTCTGTTCTCGTATCAATTTTTTAACGTAATGGCCAGATATTATATCGAAAGATTTATTAAAAAGGAGGTCTTTATGTTGAGTAATTCTGGTCAGAAAAATATAGTTTATATATTGAAAGATTATAGTAGTTAAGCTTGGTGTAATATTGTAATATTAATCTAATCTTGCAATGTTACAATATATATATATTTTTTTAATTAAGGTTGCAGGACAAACCTTAATCACATTTTAGCAAAATTAAAATTATTATTAAATTAGCCGCCATCGAAGCTTTTACCACTCGATGAAACATTAATTTACGGTTTTGTCCTTTAAAAAATATTGGCAAAACGTCAAAAACTAATTTTGATTTTGTCGTCGGAATCTCGGGACATTGCCAGTCAACCTTATTTTTAACCTATTTTTGTGAATTGGACATATGAGGTGATTGCTGGAAAAAGGATCATGAGATATAAATATCATAGCATGATAGTCTTGCCCAAACTCACTTAAGAATTTATTAAATATAAAAAAAAATGATAAACTTGAATATATGATTATAAGAATAACATTTGTTTGGAATAAATTAATTGTGCCACTTAATAAAAACGTAATTTAACAAATACAAATTTAATTTCGAAAAATTTGATATACGGAATTACAAAACATTATGAATCGTTCTTAAAAATTTGAAATACTTCATAATCTTCTATTGAAAATGTTTCATCCGTATCTCTTATCTTTTTTTCATAATTTTGTTGCTTGCAATAAGTATCATCAATGTTATTGAAATAAAGATCATCATTAAATGAAAAGCAACACCAATTGCTATAAATAATTGCATAATCTATATTTTTTACCTTGCTTAAAATTGAATCTTTAAAATTATCCTTATTCTTAAAAGAGAATATAAAACTATCTTTAGTTTTACCATATTCACAACTCAATATTCTTACAGATTTCTTCCATATTAAAGGATTATAACCTCCAAGAATTTCTTCCGATCCTTTCACTTTAATAAATATAACTGTATAAAGTATATCATCACATAATTCATGAAACTTGTCATAAGAAAACCCGTCTCTGCTTCCTCTTAATAATAATTTATATTTATATGGCAAATATAAATTTCTTAAATAAGCAAACTTGCTTTCAATATCTTTATTATCAATCCATCTTGAAATTATCGAAATAATATTTAAATTAACAATAGTTGTGTCAACAATTCCATCATTATTTTTATATCTAGGGAGTAAAATATTATCACTTGGTACGCTATTAGTATTCAAATAAGAATTTAATAAATCTTCATACAGTTGATGTTTCAAAAGTTTTTTGTATGGATGAACCTTTTGGATGAATTCATCAGAAGATAAGCTAAAAAATCTAATTAAGGATAAACAGTGTTGTAAGGTATTTTCCATTATTTTGAAATCATCATCGGACCAAGTTAAAGGATCTGGAATGAGAGTGGGATTTTTTTCAAGCCCCCATTCAAGTACATGCTCCCAAATTTCAACTTCCTTCAATTGCAAGTCATCTCTCTTGATAATTGAAATTAATGACTTTATAGAAAGCGAAGTAAAATCAATTGATTTGAATACTTTTTCGGGCGATTTAGAAATAATATCTGTACAGAACGTTTGAAGCCTTAAC